GAATGTCGCCGTTCTCTTCCTTAAGACTATAGATGTAGACATTGCCGCCTCTGTCGGCGACCGCCAACTTTGTCACATCCAAACTGTGCGATGAGATCGAGTTTATGGCGAACGACAGGTCGGCGATTGGCTGATGAAACACACCCTTCGCCAGACACCGGCAGCGCGTCTCGTAATTCATTATACGTATCATTTGGTCGCTCGACGGCGCCGACTGTCGCGCTGTCTGCGGCTTCTGATACCGACTGATGACATACGCGATGAACGGCTTCCGATTGGAGACCGCAATCCAATTGCTATTTCCGCTGAAATCCCAATTAAAGTCCACCAAACGCTCCACTTTCGTGAAGTACGAATTGGTCGACTCGTGGCCTTCAATGGCCACTTTCAGTGCCATCACGTCGAACAGGCTCTGCGTGGAAGTGGTGTCCACTTTAATGGTGCAGTTGTTGGGCAGACTGTGGCGGACAGTGGTGTTGGTGTGGCTGTTGTTCGCCGTATGAGTTGTGTTCAAGTCGTTCAACACATTGAACTGATTGGCAGTGTTTTGAGTGGCGTTTGTATTCATAGTATTCATACCAAACGCTGGCAAATGAAGCAGTTCTCGCAGTTGAGCCGAAGCAGACATTCTTCCGCTTATTCCTCCGCTTATCCGCTAACTATTATCCACTCAAATGTCTGCAAAAAGGGATTAAACACACCATTAGATCCAATATTAATGGTTTAGAGCCCAACAGAGGTGGACAGCGGCGGTGGCCGTCACTTACCCGATGATATTGCGAGCGATTCTTTGCAATCGATGGCAAACTCTTTACTCGCCAACTGATCCGTTGATTGTTAAAAAAAGCCGAAACTCTTGAATCGTTTTATTGTTTGTGTCATTCAATTGAAGCCAAACACAGGTTTTGCACTCAAACTGCGAAAGCAATAGCTTTTGCCTCAAATGAAAAGCACACGTTCGGGCCATTCATACACAACGTTATCCATTCTTAACATCTTATTTGAGCCCACATTTGACGCCCCCTTAACATTATTCTGGCTTTTAATTGAATACAATCGTTGTTTAAAGTCTATAATTAAATCAAATATAAGTTTTATAATTAAGTACTAATAAATGGATTGATTAACTCTTTAATAGTGGTATAAATTCATGTATTTATCCAATGAGTGATGATATGAATGCCAGTGTCGGGGCTGTGATAGAGGGGAGGAGAGGGGGAGGAGAGGGGGTGGGAGTGGTGTATGTGTTGTAGTGTTTGACAGAGTATTGCATTTGAGAGATAACACAAACAAATGATTCATTCGTTTGAACTCTCAATTGAAAGCAAATCCGATCAAAAGGTGAGACAATAATAATAGCAATCATTACTAGATTTGACTCAAATTGAGGCTTAATTACAATTAACTCAAGTGTTGTGCAAACCATGCGTTGAGTGTAAGACATGTGAAGCCCTAATGTGTGTCTTAAGTCACTCGACGTCTTAAGCGATGATTTATTTCCTCAAAATCCGCCGAAAGTTACGTTTCGTTTTGATTACGGCTTTAATTGTATTGCTTTTGTATCTAATCCTCCATTCGTTGGCCAATGTCTTCGGCGGCGGTCGACGAGACTTCGGCGCCGACCAGCGGGTGGTCTGCGAACAGACACCGCAGCAGCGGATCCGTATGTCTGACACACTGACCGCAGTGGTGAACGACGTGTTCAATACGCTGGACATCACATACTTCTTGTGCTATCACTCGCTGTGGG